CCACCTGCCTATCGGCACATCTCTTGAACGTGAAGAGACTCCTTATCTCTGCAACTGTCGGCATGTCCCAATTTTTCTCTTTTAATAGCACCATGAGGCCGATTATTCTCTTCCAAGTGTTTGGTGCTATTTGACATAAACCGAGTCTCCAATCTCTTAAATAATCGGTGATCAGAGCAGGGAGTGGAAATCTCAATCCTGACCTCAGTGAATCGGCAAAAACGCCCACACAACCTGGCGGAGGGCAAGTAATCCTTTCACCCGGATAAGGAGCAAATAATCTTACCGAGGAAGGAACATAAACTTCCCCCGAAAACATGACGATATTTGCGTCAATTAAAATACTTGGCTCACCCCTATACTCATCAATCGGTTCGGGCCACCGACGTGCAGGACGTCTCCAATACTCAGCAAGAGACATAGCATTATCTTCTACTGCCTTATCCTCCTCGGTTATATCCTTATTCAGGTTAAGTCTCTGAACAAGAATAGGATCCCACCGATAATACTCGAGAGGCAATTCCAAATCCTCGTCGATAAAAATCCTAATCTCAGAAACTGTACGGCTACTGGTATCCTCAGCGTGAGAAGTCATCTTTCCGAAATCGATGGAGAAATAAAAACAAATTCGAAATCGACGAGCGCAAAAATATGAAAATTAGGGCAAAGTCTTACCAAGAATCTCAAAGCCCTAAATTGAAGAAGACACAAAGAAATCACGCAAACCGTACGAAGTGAAAATCGAAAGGAAAATTCGAAGAAGTCTGAGCACGAAGATGAAAACAAAGAGTTCAAAAATCAAAGGTAAATAAACCCTTCACAGTCAAAACCAATTGCGATTTATAGGTTTTGATTTAAAACCGTTGGCCAAACCCGGGATCAGCGCGTGTAACGGACGTGTCCCCAAATGGTGCAACGTTATAGTAATGATTAATACACGTGGGCTAGTCTCGAAATGCCATGTCGCTCAATAATTCTATCCGTTGGACTCATTAAATACAGACGCGTCTTTTAAGAATGGCCACGTCAGTTCAAACGTTACACAACCGTCGAAAACAGAATTGGTGACAAAACCAAGTGTTCTCATGTCGGTCACGAGATAAAGAGGAGTCAGAGAACAACCAAGTCGGAATTACAAAAGACAATGACGACATCAGCAGCCATTTTAAGAAAATTTCAAATACCCACTAATGTCGGGGGCCTCTCTGTTGATGACCGACTTTGTTTAGTGAGATTAAGCTAAAGACTAACCGCCCCGTTCGATCAATGATCCCCTAGAAATAGCTGAACTTAGCTCAAGTCGGTACCAGTTGAATAGATTAACTACCGACTTCCAGATGGTCGAAAGTGGAACCGACTATTTATCATAAGCCGATGACCGACTTCACCGACATCGTGATTCGCTACAATAAAAATTATCCATTTAACCGACATCCGAGGGGATCAAATATCCAAGCAGATAGTGTTGTATACATTCGATTGGACCATCAAAATAAGAAGCAATCATTGATGTTCCCTCATTCCATTACACACCGCTTTATTGAAGCTGCTCAACATTAAATGCGATCTTATCTACCTCGGACAAAAAGACAAAAATAATCGCACTATAAATAGCAGAATTTATAGTTGTACAAGGATCTTTTTTTTCGCTCATTGTACACGGACTTAAAATGATCTCGGTCAAGAACAAAAAACCGACTTCCTGTACTTTTGTGACACCATCAATAATATACAATTATCATCTTATTTTTGTTTAAGCACACCTTGTTGTTTTAATTTTGAGTTGTTAACTTCATACAATAACAACCACATACACAAAACACACGCTACGCACACATAAAACACAAGCCACACAACTCACAACACACGCACACACACGGAGCACACACACACACACTTCAGCATACACACACACAGTACATATAAATAATTTATAAACACGACACACACACACACTACACACACACACACATTACCAGTCACCGCCGACCGCCGCCCAACCCAGCCATCGCCGCCGCAGCACGCCACCGCCGGTCGCTGGAGCCCACTGTAACGCCGGTCACCGGAGCCCAATGTGACGCCGCTGCCGAAGCACGCTGAAACGACGCAGCCGGAGCACGCTGAAACGCTGCCGCCGGAGCCCTCTGTTAGACACGCACGAAACGCCATCGTCTGGTCCGGCGCCGGAGCTCTAGTCGCCGTCGTCCTCCGTCCGTCAGGAACTGACCATGACGTCTCTGTCACTTCCTCCGCCATAGAGCTCCGCCGTCTGCAAGTGTAGAGGGTGAAGACGCCTCCGGCCCGCCACATTCACCATCGTGGTCGTCATTCCTTCCCGTCGTCATCGCAGTAGCCGTTCGTCCGCCGTCCAACATTGGAGAAGAAGTGGCCGGCGACAAGTATAGGGGGCTGAGGTGGCAGAGAGAACATGATTTGATATTGAAATAGGGGGGTTTGTTTTTGAGAATTTGATATCTTATAGGGGCTTGATTGCAATTTTCATAGATTTCAATAAATTACAATTTAGTTCATAGGTTGAATTTGTAGTTTTTAGAAATTTGTAAATCTAATATTGTAAATTTAATAAATTTATTTATATTTCAATTTAACACTTGTGTCAAATTTGTAATTTACAAAAAGTAGATAAAAGTATACTATTTTTATATATATTTTAAAATCATAAAATAATAGAAAAATATTAAATAAAAATAAGATAAAATATTAATATATTATTGAACATGTTGCACATTATTGACTGCCGAGTTGCATTTTTGTGTTAGTGAAATTGCACCTTAACATAATAAATGCACGGTCATGATAATTAGATTAATAATATAAAATACTAAATACAAAATTATAAATACTAAATATATTTTTATGATATAAAAAAATTGATAAATGCAAATAATAATGATAACTGAAATACACATTATTGAAGTTTATGAATTTGAAACACATAAAAAATACTCGATGTGTCGATTGCACAATAATGCTAGACGAATTGCACATTATTGTTTGTTCGATTGCACTTTATAGATTTTGATATCTTTTATATTATATTTTGAACTATAATATATTATAAATTATTAAATATACATATTAAAATATAAAATGTATTTTATAATATACATATTAATATAAAAATATTTTGTAATAATAAATAAATTATAATAAAAATAATAAATAAAAAGCTATTTTAATTATTTAGGTTATTCAATGTACAATTATACACATAATTTATAAATTATACAGTGCATTTTATATCACCGAATGTCGCACCGTATAAAAAAATACGTTGCACTTTATCACATCGTCTATCTAAAAAAACACAAACATGCTAACGTATCAAAAACAATACGTTACACTTTATACAGTAATATGTTGCACCTTATAACACAACATGTTGCACCGTATACCGTAATACGTTGCAATATAGCGATCAAAACAGTCCAAATTAAAATTCTTAGTTAATTGCAATTTTTACAATTGCAGATAGTCCCTTATATGATATCTAATTTTCAATACAACAACCTCAAATACACCAACATTTTCCGGCCGCCCCCCGCCATTCAAGTCGCCGCTGCCAGCAACTGTGAATAGCCCTGCCGTCGGATGACACGTCATCACTTCGCTACTCCGGTGTAACGACAATGGAAGAATTGCACAAAGTCCCGTCAACTATTCATTCTCAGCGGAGGTTCTCCAATCGTTGCCACCTGACGGCGTCCGGTGAATCGACGACGGACTTAGCTGCCTGATGCGACTGAACGTGGGAGACGGCGAATCGGTGTCGGGCTGTTGAGGACCGGCTGTGGGGGAGACGCCATCATCGGCAGATCTGTGAAGTGCTGTTGGGGACCGGTCATGGTGGAGACGACGTCTCCGGCGGATCTGTGCCGTGATGTTGGAGACCTGGCGGCGAGACCACAAGGGCCAGTGAAGGCAGTGGAAATCCGGAGCGATTTTCCGGCGAGAGGTTGCTTTAGTAACAGAGAGATGGGGAACGATTTGGTTTTGTCCGGTGGAGGTCAGTGACGTCGGGAGGCTAATCGGTTACGGGCGCGGCGGCGGTCCGACTAGTGTGTGTGTGTGTGTGTGTGTGTGTTGAAGATGACGAGGGATGGAGTGGGTGGGATGGCACGATTTTATGTGGTGTCATTAATTGTGTAGTGGTAGGTCCCACCAGTTGTTTGGATTGAATTAAATGTCCAAACTACCCTTAATTATTGGTCAAATACACATATTTGACCACAATATGATTCAATAAGTACTAAATTGCCATTAATGATTGACCAGGTTTGACTTTATCATAACCATTGATATGGATGATCCCATGATCCAGGCTTATTCTTATTTCTTTCACTATCTACCATTCTCATGTGATCCCATATATATATATATATATATATATATATATATATATATAGTCACGCTCCGGTGAGAATGGTGCTCAATGAAAGAAATAAGAATACATCATAGTCGTTGGGATCGAATGACCTGACGACTAAAAAAAATACAAAATTATACGTTCATTAAGGGTATGACAATAATTGTACCACACACAAGTGGACCCCACTCCACATTAATAATTAAATCTGCCAACTACCACCTACATATGGTCAATATAGTGGGACCCACACTCCCCATTCTCTAACCTACCCACCTCACCCATCTGTCTCTCTCACACGTACAGACACACACATTCACACACAACACACACCTCCCCCCGATTAACAGTCGCCAGCCCCAAACGTGGCACCGCCGTCATTCCACCGCCGCAATCCACCCGCCTCCGTCACCTGAATCCGACCGCAGCCTGCCCCTCCACCCTTCGCCGTCAACACTGTGACCAGCCCGCCATGGGAGCTGCTTCGTACGACGGCGACCTCCCCCGAGCCTCCGCCCTCTGCCGTTAACACAGCGACCAGCCCGCCATGGAAGCTGTTTCATACGACGGGCGACCTCCCTCGACTGTATTGTTGTGGCGCAACCCGACATCCATGGCAGCGCCGCCATCTCTCTTGACTACGACCAGCCCCGTTATGGCGGGTTGCCGCCGGAACCGAAGTGGCCTGCAACTAATAGACACGAAGCCTCCTCGAAGAAGACGAGATGCGTCTGGATCCTTGAGAGCCACTGCCGCATCACCGGCGACGGGGAGTGGTACGCTGGTAGTGGCGAGAAGAATACAGGCTTGCAAGAGAGAATGGAATTTCAATTTCAATTTAGGGGTTTATTTTAAAAATTTGATAAGTTTGAGGGATTTATTTGCATTTTTCAACAATTCTAATATATTACCATTTAAGCCATGGGCCCAATTTGTGATTGATAAAATTATAATTAATATTATAATATTTTGATTTAATATTCAATATTTATATATTTGTGGCTGAAAATAATAAAAAATAATAATGATACAAATGATAATAATAATAATAGTTGTAGTAGTAGTAGTAGTAGTAGTAATAATAATAATAATAATTATAATAATAATAATTTTTATATAGTTCGATCGTTTGGGTATTTTGGTTATTTAAATAAAATCAAAGAAAATGTCGAAATCTAAATGACATATTCAAATTTTTTGAAAGTAAAAACAAATGATCAGAATGAAATATAAAATTTCGAACTGAAATTTTTACTTTTGACATAATCAGTTTAATTCATCGGTTATCATAAATAACCAAAATAATCAACATAAATTATTTTATTTACTATAAAAAAACATAATTATTGTTAATATTTATTTATTTGGTGTTTTATATTATTCCTTGATTAAAAAAATGATATATATGTAACTGATATATAATGTGCAATCTAACAGACATTAAGGTGCAATTCGTCCAGCGCTACGGTGCACGTTGTCGTTCTGTATTGTGCATATTGAACCAACTGAAATTTTATCCCAGCTTAAATAGAAAATGAACATAATTTATTGATTTAGTCGGTCCGGTTAACCGAATCATCTTTAAATAATCAAAATAATTTGTTATTTATATTTAAGATGTTGATAATTTTATTTATTATTTTTATAATATATCTGGTTGAAATAATTCGAGTTTGGTCGGTTTCGATCTTTTTTTTTTTATAATATAATAAAGTGTATAGTGTTGTTCTATAAAGTGCAACGTGTTATTTTATAAAGTGCAAAGTGTTGAACTATACAGTAAACGAATTGTTGAAGTTCTGATAAAGTGCAACGTGGTGTTTTATAAAGTGCATCGTGTTGTTTTATAAAGTGCAGAGTGTTGTTCTATAAAGTGCAACATGTTATTTTTTAAAGCGTAACGTGTTGAACTATACAATAAACGAATTATTGTAGTTTCGATAAAGTGCAACGTGGTGTTTTATAAAGTGCATCGTGGTGTTTTATAAAGTGCATTGTGTTGATATATAAAGTGCACTAATTTATATGATCATATATATAAATATTGTGTTGATATATAAAATGCACAATAACATTAGACGAATTACACATTAATGGTTTATCATATTACACAATAGAGAAAAATTTTCAATTTGAACTTTTATATTTTGATTCGATTATATGCTTTAATTTTAAATCGCATATCTACACAAAAATATTGTGCAATTCACCTATATGAGTATTTAATAAATTTTTTATAGTTTCATATAAAGATGACAATTTTTTTTTAAAATGCACATCTATACACAATATTATGCATCCAATGTGTCATAATTCTGCATGAAATAATCTTTCATTAAATTATAAATTTGCATCAAGAATTATAATATACTTATAATAAAAGTTCATAAATTACAAGTTCGCCCTTTAACACTATCTAATTTCCAAAACAAGACCCCAATACCAAAAGCACCATCTAGATCCATGGCTTTATGATGTAGATGGAAGCTATGATGGGAGAAGAATTGTACAGGAACGAGAAAAAACACTAATTTTCTTAAAACAGATATTTAACTGCCCAATAGAACATATCTGCTTCCTATTTATCAACATATTCTTAACCAACATTATTTAAAAGCCCAAACATAATAAACTTAATTCAACATAAATATAAATAATAATAATAATAAAAATAAGAAATAGAATAATATTCAAACTAATGGAACAAGTCGATCATATTTGTCGAGATATGCTAATGCAATCTCGTCGGCATCATTCTCCCCTGGGTGGAGAGGATTCGCCCTCGAATCCGCAATCTCGTCGGCGTCCTGGACGTCCCCGTCAACAAAGTCACCTACGTCAAAGACAATCGAACGACCATCCTCCGAGCCGAATAACTCCCTACACTGCTCGGCGCGAGAAACGAATAAAACAGGAGACGACGATGGCAAAGGACCAGAATTGTATGATGATCGGATGCAGGACTATGCGGACGCCCTCAAATAAAAAACTATATGTGTTAAGGCGTCCATTATGCTCCACCAAGGTCGTCCTACTAAAACGTGCCAAGAATCCATAGGCACGACGTCACACCATGTCATGTCCTTATAAGAGGATCCAATAGAAAGGTCACCATCATGCGTCGGATGACACGAACCGAATCATAATGTTGTATCCACGCAAGAGCATACGGATCCGGGTGTGGCTCACTTAACAAACCAAGTTTCGACACGGCATCGTTCGAAATCACATTCTTGCAGGAGCCGGAATCAATGACAAAACGACACACCCGTCCGCCAATAGTACATGTGGATTCAAAAAGGTGGTGTCGCTGGACCTTATCCTCAGAAGAGATGTGGGGAGACAAAAGAGACCGACGAAGGACAAGCACGTGACCCACGTCTCCGGAGACATGTATCTCGAGAACCTCCGGTTTTTTATCCAAAATGAGAGGACCATCGTAAACAGTCGCGTCTGGCTCCTCAACAATCAAAGCCGTGACCCTCTCGCCTCGGGCACTATGCCTGACGATGACCCGGCTCGCCACATGTGAAGCAACGCGGCCCACCGGACTGTCAAGTGCCAATCCCCATCGTGGGGCCAATCACAAGACCATCAGATGGAGCATCCAAATAAAACCAAACACTCGGCGCAGACTGTGCGGTACCTGAAGTCCCTGGAAGCTCCTTTGCAGACGGTGTAAAAGAAGCGCCCGCTTTCCGGGCTTGCTGCTGCTCAACCAATAAAGCCCATTGATGGGCCACAGAAATGGAAGCCGGAGTAAACATATTCAACACATCCTAAATAGAGACACGCAATCCCCCAATATAATGAGAAATTAACTGTTCCTGAGTTTCACGAATACCAACCCAGGCAAGAAGTTTATAATTTTCCTCAGTATAATCGTCCACATTACGTTGTCCTTGTCGAAGATTTTGTAAACGCTGATTTAAAGTACAGACAAAATTAAACGGTAAAAATTCCTGTTCAAGATACTTACAAAATTTTACCTATGAAGTGATTTTTGGTTTGCTCTGTCGATGTTTTAATTGTAACCACCAAGCAGACACTCGTCCACGAAGTCGAGTCACCACTAAAGGTACCCGTCTATCATCCGAGACGCCTTTAAAACCAAAAACCGACTCAACGACGGCTAGCCAGTCAAGAAAATCGGTCGCATCCAAACTCCCGGCAAATTCCGAAATTTCCACACGGAAAGCCGATTCCCAGCTACGCTCATTCTCCAATTCAGACCCTTGCCTGCGTAAATGGGCCTCATGCCCAGGCCCATTGAACTCATTATAGTGGCATTGGAAATTTAGAAACAAAATTATTAAATCTATAACCTCTGTAAAAAACACGCCCAAAGCCAGGAAAAGGAGGAAAAATTATTTCCTCGACCGTCCCTAATCTCACGCCCGAGGAATCGATTGGCCGGAGGAAATCTGCCACCATCAAAATTGCCGTCCCACTGCAATCCGGCGTCGACACGGTCACCCTCGAAATGGAAAGCCCCCCGCCGACCATCCTGCTGCCAACCGCGATCGTTATCCCCTCCGCCCTCAGCCATTCGCCGGAAGTCGCGGCCGCCAAATCGCGGAGGATCACAGCCGTGGTCGTCGCGGCGAATTCCCGCACGCCGATGGACCTGATTGCCCCGGATCTGAAACTCATCTGGTGGCCGACGGTTATCATCCACGACATGGTCACGAAATTCGTCCTCCCGTGGTCGCCGGTTATCGGCATCGTGGTCGCGGGCCAAACCTGCTGCAAATGGGTTGATGTCCGACCACGTGGCATCACTATCGTCCCTGTCGTTCTGAAGAGGCGGGGATGGCTGTCGGGGCGCCCGGACATGGCCACGTCCTCCACGACCGCCTCTGCCTCCCCCATGATAGTCACAGCCCCTATCGCGGTTCAAGTGCCAATCTCTGATCATGGTATTGGGTGAAAGATGAATATCGTCGATCCCCTTCGATAAATCATTGAACCGATTATCCATCAATTGAAACCGATCGTCGATTCGCTGAAAACGATCGTTGATGTCGGCCTCACGCCGTTCAGTTGCTGCATCTCGACGTCGCGGCATCGAGAATCGTCCTGAATCTGATACCAAATGATGTAGATGGAAGCTATGATGTGAGAAGAATTGTACAGAGAATTGTACTGGAACGAGAAAAAACACTAATTTTCTTAAAACAGATATTCAGCTGCCCAATAGAACATATATGCTTCCTATTTATTACAACATATTCCTAACCAAAATTATTTAAAAGCCCAAACATAATAAACCTAATACAACATAAATAAATACAAACATAAATATAAATAATAATAATAATAAAAATAAGAAATAGAATAATATTCAAACTAATGAAACGAGTTGATCATATTTGCCGAGATATGCAAATGCAATCTCGTCGGCATCACTTTCCCTCTCAGATCCATTCCCTACCAACACCGCCAGACCGCCAGATTCACCGTCAGGCTACCCCCACCGCCGCATCCTCGCCACCGCGACGTGGACTGAGCTCATCCCCAAATCACATAAACCTTATAACGTCCCCAATCATCCAAGGCGGCGGCGCCCGTGTATTCCGGCGACAAGTGCTCGTCTCTGAAATTCCTTCCACTCTGGCATGAGCTGCGAGCCCTCTGCTTCTGCCTCGTAGGCCCACTCGCTGGCACCTCCTGAGGGAGAGGATGCGGGAGCGGCACCACCTCAGATGAGCTCGATGCAGCCAACGGCGACCGGCTCTGAGAATATCGGCAGGAAGATGCCGACGAGAGTGGTTGTTGATGCACAACGGAGGCACGCCGTCGTCTCCTGCGTCGCGGTTGGCGGCGGGCGGCGGTTACACGGTCGTCATCTTCTGCGTCGCGGTTGGCGGCGAGCGGCAGATACACGGCCCTCATCTCCTGCGTCACGGTTGGCGGCTGGTGGCGGAGTCACGACGGAGGAAGGCGCAGGCTCGAGGCCATGCGTGTGTGTATGTGTCTGCAAAATCGTGAGGAGGAAGATGATGTATTAATGAGAGAGAAAATATATATTTAAATGGTGAGTGGGTCCCCCATAAATATATGTGTATTGACCAACTTACCCTTAATAATTGGTCAAATGCACATATTTGACCCACTATGATCCAATAATTACCAGAATGCCATTAGTGATTGACCATAGTTTGATTTCATCATACCCATTGATATGATTGATCTCATGGTCCAGATTTATTCTTATTTATTTCACTATAGATCGGATCATCTAATGGCTAAAAAAATATTTATTTTTACACAAACAATTAATTGGTAAATTGGTAATTACAACATACACAAACAATTAATGTGTGGGCCCCATCATAAATCAAAACAACACAACCCCCAACAAAAATCATTCAATTTTCACGTCTCCAAACAAATCTCATTTTAGTATTTTACACTGCCTCTCTCTCTCTCTCTCTCTCTCTCTCTCTCTCTCTCTCACACACACACACACACACACACTAACAGACTAACACACACAGTCACAGAAAATCAGAGAAAGTTGAACATCCGTCTGTTTCACTACAGCCACCGCTGCACCGCCGCTGACATCCTGCCTCAAGCGGCCTCCGCACATAATCTCTCCCCATCGCACGTCACCTACGCCGTTCCTCGTTGCCCGCGCCTCACCGCCGCCTCAACACTCGCCAGAATCGTACTTGCCAGACGGCCTATGCGTCGCCACACAGTTCAAGACGGGGACATAATGAAGCTGCCGTTGTCGATGGCCTCCGCCTGAAAACGACAGCATCGCCGCCGAGCGAGAATGGCCGTCGCCTACGCCTATATTTCTCCTCATCCGTCAGTCGCTGCTGCTCGAAGCCATCCTCCACCGTATCACAGGTCCCGTCTGTGCGACTTGTCGGTGCGCCGCCCCTGGGAAAAAAACCAGCACACACCAATTCCAGTGATGTCTAAATCTCGCCGCCTCTGCTGCCGTCCAGAAGTTCTCTGCTATCTTTTGTATTCCATCGCCGCCGCGTCTCTCCGTTCAACAGACCGACGGGAAGATTTTTGAAGAGAACTCAGGGACCGTGAATTTGGGATTGTGGGGGCTTCAAATTAGAAAATAGATAATGAAAAGAGACTAAGTTGCAATTTTAACAGTTTTAAGATTTTGCAATTTTTATTTGGGTAAATCAGTAATTTTGTAAAAGTTTGATAATAACATATATATATATATATTATGTATTTTTGCTAACAAATAATACAAAATATTAAATAAATATTTTAAAATATTACATATATTTTTTATAATAAAAAAGTAAATTATTCAATTATTTCAATAATAAGTTCAAATTTGGAATCTAGGATTTTATTTATTTATTTATTTATTTTCAGTAATGCACTTCATATATTAACACATGTACTTTATAAAAAAAACATGTTGCACTTTATAAAACACCACATATCGCTTTATCACCACACACCTCAATTAACGTCAAATAACTACCGACAAAATATCACACAACATAAATCTTAAAAAATGTTATACATGATACTTTAACATCAATCTCATCATTTATCCACACAAAACACAAGTGTGCTAATGTACCAAAATTACAATTGCTCGCTTTATACATCATCACGTCTGCACTATATAAAACAATATGTTGCACTTTATATAATAACATGTTGCACTTTATAAAATAAGATGTTGCACTTTATCATGACTAGCAGATTGCACAATAGATAGAGAAAGCGAAACCGAAACCGACCGAATTAGAGTTTTTGATTCAAAATTTTATTTTTTCGGTTCGATAAATTGTTTTTTAAAAAATCATTTCGATAAATTGTTTTTATTTTTAAAATCACAATTATTTCATTTCAATGTCTGATTTATTTTCTAAAAATTATCAATATAACTGAAATTATCGAACTATATAGCGAGTGCACAATATGGTTATACAAATTGCACAATAATGACTAATAGATTGCACAATATCGAATGAAAACGTCATAACTAAGATTTTTGGTTTGATAATTTTTTTTCTTTTATTTTAAAAATACTTTAGTTCGGTCCGATGTTTTTTTTAATTAAATAGTAGAACTAACCAAATGTAAAAATTATATAAAAAATATTATTATTATCTTTTATTTTTATATAAAATATATTAGTTAGTTTCAACAATTAAAATATAAAATTTTAAATAATAATCATTTTTTGATTAATTACGAATATGACCCGTGAACCAAATCGTAATATATTAAAAATGATACAATTTTCATTAAGCCCCTAGAACTTTTATTAAATCATCAATTTGCCACAAGTACTAAATTGAAATACATTAAAACATAAAAAATTATAATTTCACCCCTTAAGCATATTTAGTCTATAAGAAATATATAAAAAAATATTACTCTTTACATATTTTTATGCAAATACATATTATATATTTTTAATACTAAATCAAGATATTAAAAATTATTATTTTTATATTTTTTATATACATATATAAAATATTAAATAAATTTGTTATTAATGTTGATTGAAATACACATTATTATTTTTTTTGAAAAGTGAAATGCACATATGAAGTGAATAAGATTTCACTCGGGCCCCTTCAACTCGAACGGCCACCGTACCTGCAAGAACCCAACGCCGGGAGGGGTCCCGGCGTCGGGCCTCCGACGCTCAAGTCTGAATCACTCCAAAACTCCAAATCTCAAGTGTATATCAATGAATGTAGAGAGAATGAGAGAATGACATACCTTATCCCCCTTTTATAGGGGGAGTGTACCTTATGGCCCAAGTTGGGCTTGTCCAATAGCATCATGCCACGTGTCCTAGCCATGTGTAGGCTTATTCTTTAATATATTCCCTTTTTATACATTAAAGCCAGTCTAGTATATGATATAGTCCCCCCACTTTGGTCGAGTAAGCATGACTCGATCCAAGAGTGAAATTCCTCTTCGGGCTGTTTCCGTCAACCTGCCACTATAATTTGAATAAATCCCCTCGACCAACAAATAGTCACCAAACCTCCAAATGAGTATCGGGACCCAAATGAACACCAAATGACCACTAAGGTAAAAAACCGCAAGACCTGCCGCTGAGGTCGAATACTGAATGACCTGCCGCTGAGGTCGAATACCGAAAAACCTGCCTCTGAGGTCGAACATAGGAAACCAAATGACCAATGAGGTCGAAAATCGAGTGACCCGCCACGGGGGTCGTACATCGAAAGCTGAACGACCACCAAGGTTGAAAACCGAGTGACCCACCATTGGGGTCGAACACCAAAAGCTGAACAACCACTAAGGTCAAAAAACTGAGAGACCCACCACTGGGGTCGAACACCAAAAGCTGAACGACCACTGAGGTCGAAATCTGAATGACCCACCACAGGGGTTGAACACCAAGAGCCGAACGACCACTTAGGTCGAAAACCGAGTGACTCTCCACTGGGGTCGAACCTTGCTTCCTAGAGTAGATTTATATGCTCCTCATTTTTCAACGTCGAATTTCCTTTGCTATCTCCCTATCTGCTTACTTTGGTAGATTTTCTCGATCTCTTCCCGAAGCTTGAATTTCAAAATTTGAAATCACGTCTATTGTTTCTCGACCACTATGTTCGAGCTCTCTTCATTCAAAGATAAACCTTTTCTACCACCTCGTCCTATCATCGCCCCCTCAGTTCAAAATTTGAAATTCAACCCTGCTGTTTATCCTTTCAAAAACCCAATGTCCTGACACCAATCCGAAGTCGAAATCCGAATTCGAAAAAACCAAAATCAGGTAAAATCCATTGACCTGCCATCGAGGTCCTCGAATAAACTCCTTGAATTACTCTGAATAAACTCCATGGACCTGCCATTGAGGTCGAAAAATAATTTCAACAACATCAAAACCATACACCAAATCAGGTAAAAACAATCGACCTTCCTCTGAGGTCTCCGATAGGCTCCATATCTTCAACGACCCAATACTAAGATCGACCACCCAGCCCAAAGGACATAGTCATGGTGGATTTTTGTCGTTGAACACATGCCCACCCTCGAAGGAGTGGTCGATACATGTGACCACCCAGCCTCACGGCCTTAGTCGTGGTGGATTTTTGTTGTCGAACACATGCCCACCCACGAAAGAGTGATCGATACATGTGACCACCCAGCCTCAAGGCCTTAGTCGTGGTGGTTTTTTGTCGTCGAACACATACCCACCCTCGAGGGAGTGGTCGATACATGTGACCACCCAGCCCGGAGGCCTTAGTCATGGCAGATTTTTTTCTTCGAACACATGCCCACCGTCGAGGGAGTGGTCGATACATGTGACCACCCAGCCTAGAGGCCTTAGTCATGGTGGATTTTTTAGCCTCGGGGCCACCAATTAACGCCTTCCCGACCCGCTAATGGGACCGATCGAACAGACGACCACTTAGGGTGGGTTTTTCGGCCTAGGGGCCACCAATTAACGTCTGCCTGGTCCGCTAATGAGATCGTTCGAACAGACGACCACTCAGGGTGGGTTTTCCGGCCTCGGGGCCACCAATTAACGTCTGCCCAGCTCGCTAATGGAACCGTTCAAACAGACGACCACTCAGGGTAGGTTTTTCAGCCTCGGGGCCACCAATTAACGTCTGCCCGACCCACTAATGGGACCGTTCGAACAGACGACCACTCAGGGTGGGTTTTTTGGCCTCGGGGCCACCAATTAACGTCTGCCCGACCCGCTAATGGGACCGTTCGAACAGACGACCACTCGGGGTGGATTTTAGACTCCTGAACAGCTTGAACACTTCGACCTGCCACTGACGTCGAAAAGCAAACACACCAAACACCATGAGACAGAATAGTAATTGATCATTTTCGTTAGTCCCATCAAATGCATAGTTATATCGAACATGATAACAAAAATCGAGCATAATTTTCAAACTCCCTTTCCTGTCTGTACACGACGACCTGAGTTGTTGTTTGCTCCATGCTTTTCACTCCTCACCATAATCAATATCCTGTCCACCTGCTCATTCATTTTCCTCAGCAAGAATTCAACAAATTCCATTAGTCATATTTTATCCACATCATTCAATTTGCAATCCCGATAGCGATATTAACAAGAGATGAATAAATCAAAACAATCATATTGGTCCATATGCTTTTATACCACACCTCAATCTACATGCAAGTCTATTTACCACGATATGAAATCACATAAACGCCCATTCAAATGTACAGACGACCAGAATTTCACAAAACCATGAATTCGACAAGCAATTACAACAAACCATACTCTGCATCTACAAAAAATCCTTAAACTAATGCACCGAACAAAAATTCAAAGGAGTTGTTCCCCATACCGAGCTCCTTAGTTATGACGACTCGAGACTGGCCAGCCCGAAGGCCTTAGTCATGCCAGATTTTTGTTCAAGCCTCCACAAACACCTCATTTTCTGTATTTTGTTAGTCACCTGAATAATAATTTTAAACATATCCATATACCTCACAAACCCAGCAACATCTCGCCCAGAATATCCAAAACAATGAACATATCTCCAAAAAAGCATGCTAAGAGACTCAATGTTTCAATAAATTGCACCGGTCGAACTCAACCACTAACAAGAGTTGGGATTAATTTTATACCTGAAGGTCGAGAATACCACTCCCATTATCCTACCTCTCTAGAAGAGAACGACTTCAACCTTTGAAATTGCCACCGACGATCGGTATCATCCAAACTCGTCCCTCATTATCACCCTCCTTTGATGGATTCGTGCTCGCTCCTTTTGTCCTCGAAACTCCACAACTCGTCCACCATAGCTTGTCGAAACTCGGGTTATTTTGTTGTTTCCTCGACAAGAATTCAAAGAGATCATTATCCACATTATATTCACGTCATCCATTTTACAATTCTCCGCGCAAGAAAAACAATAGGTCAAATACAAATATCACCATCTCCTCGATTTAAGACATGCTCGAGCAATGGCATGCTTAAAAAATTATGAGTAATCCATTTCAACAAAATTCCACATTTCACATGAAAATCCAAATGAGAGGTTCCCAATCTATTAATATATTGAA